ATTAGTAAAGACAGCGTATGATATGTTTCTCTCTTGTCAAAATCAATTCATATATAGCCAAATAAATTATAAATTATTTCTTCTATTTTGAGAAAAAAATTAATTAGTCTTCTTTATTATAAAAACTACGTATCTGGTCTCTTTACTGGTGTTTGATCGTGCTTAATTTAATACTAACTTATATCAAATTGTTTTCCCATTAATTTACCAATATAATTACAATAGCAAATACGTCAGCACTCATATGGTAATCATTTAAATTGAGCAGCATAACCGAAGCTTAATGGCTGGTTATTTGTATGCGATGGATTCTGACTGTGCCAAGGGTATTTGGTAGCCTTTATTTTTCCCAAATGATCTCTAGTGTTGGCTTAATGTGAAGAGGATCGATGCTAAGGTGATTCAGCCTATGTTCGGGTATGGATATCTTCACAACAGGGATATCAGGTGTTCTCAGATACTGGTGTGACACATTGCTAATTAATGAGATGCTTCCACTTTTCAAATTGTTCTTAATAAAATAATGTTTAATCTATTCTACCTCCCCTCTCTCTAATGGACAGATTCCATCTTTCTATCATATATCTAGTTCAATTATATCTCATTTGCTCATAAATAAAATATTAATTTATATGGCCCTTCCATAGGAGGATGTTGGGCAAAGCAAGCTACTAAATAGCTGCTGTAAAATATTGCTGACGAAAAAATAAAACAACCTTGAAAGATTTATCCATGACATTGATGGATGAGATCATGAATGTGAGATCAAGAATGATGATCGATAAACTAAATGCAGTCCCAATCATTACCTGTCCCAACCATAACCACAGTCGATAAAACAAGAGAATAGTACATTGTTGCGGGGCCTGTTATAGTAATCTGAGGGCTGATAATGATTTATTCATATTGTGATATTTCAAATGTCCTTGGTTCTTGAATTGACACGTGAGATTTTGGCTCAGCAGTGGTAGCGATTTATTTTTTTGCTATTTGAGTTCCAGCCTCACTGTACATATTTATCATCTCTAATATTTTATATATTTATTAGATTTACAGAATATTTAATAAACTATAAAATTAATCATGGGATCCAAATATTTATATAAATTCAAAAACAAAACAAAAAAAACTACTTCTTAAATTGTCATCATCCAAACAACGAAAATATGCTCCGCTACATGATAATGAAAATTCTTACACTTCTCAAGCACTCATGAATTCCTAATTTATTAAAAAACAACTTAAAATAATAAAATTAATAATTATACATAACTATCATAACTCAATAACAATTCTATATTAAATGACTAATTCATAGCCATTACAAATGCCAATCATTTCCATTTTATAAAATCATAGCACAGTTCTAAATCAAATCACTTTTGAAAAAAAACATCCCTTGAATGATGTAAACTCACTCCAATCCTCTTACAAAATACTTAGGGATTCATATGGCATCATTAATTGAGGCAAGTATCTCAAATCAACAAAATTAGGAGATACCAGTACATTGTTATCTGTTGGGAAAACTTGGAACAACCGGACATCAATTTACCCGGATCAATTCAGCGGAATACAATTACAATTCACAAGTCCCAATTCTTTCCCTCTTTGTGCAGTAAAACAGAATCAAACAATGATGAAAAATAATGCAAATAATCACAAAATCAACACCAAGATTTTTAACGTGGAAAACCCGATGCGGGAAAAACCACGGGACCGTAGTCCACCTAAAA